AGCAAGGAATTTAAAGTTTCTACATTACTGGGTTGGGAATTTTCCATAAGGAATTTTCAACCATAGGCCCGAGTGATCAGATTTAAGCAGGGGAATGTGAATAACAGAGCTATTTATAAAATTTCTATGCCAAGAGTTATTCACAACAACCCTATCTAGCCTTTCCTTAAGATTTCCTTTGTGCCAGGTAAAAAGGTTTCCTTTGAAACCCAGGTCAAAGAGACCACATTGAGAAAGGCTGTCAGCAAACCTATTGAGACTTCTAAAATTTGAAGGTTTACCCCCTACTTTTTCATTACTATACAAGATAGAATTAAAATCCCCAGCCAGAGCCCAAGGACATCTGATAGTAGAACTAAATTTAATTAAACCCTCCCAACAAATCTCCCTATAATGCTCTTGAGGGCTAGCATAGATAGAAGACAAGATCCAGTCCCCATACCCAGGTGTTTTAACATTAAGGTGAATAAAATATTTTAACTTATCAATTAAAGAGACTGAAACTTTGTTACTATTCCAGAGGCACCAAATACCTCCAAAAAACCCAACAGTATCCATAATTTCACACTGATCAAAATTAATTTTCTTAATGACCGACTCAGCTTTAGTAGAACTAATTATAGGTTCAAACAAGGCAATAAAATCTAATTTATACATGGAAATTAGATCATTAACAAGTCTATAAAAAGTTTTACCACCAGCCCCTTTACAATTCCAAAAGAAAAAATTCATGGATAAAAATGAAAACAATTATATTGCATCTGTAGGATGCTGTGAAGGTGCCTGACTAGAGGACTTACAAGGCTCAAAATGGCTAATTCTAGCTATAGGGATATCTATGTCCATAGGCGGAACTAGGTCAGGAGGCTTATCAGTTGTAACTTGAACTATAGAATCTTGAGGTTTCCAAGAGGTACTAAGATTTTCACCTAGCTGATCTTGGATGTATCTACCCCCAGACTGATTATTATTAATATCTTTATTCATTATATTCATGATTGCAAAGATTTCCTTATGACTTGAACTATTATGGTTAATGTTGTCCTCTCTATACTCTCCTCATTAGTGATCATAGGCAGACTGTTCCTTTCTGTTTCCTTATTACTAGTCTCAACTTTAGGTTTGAGATTACCTTTAATGGATTTTTTTTTAAAGAAATACTTTCAGTATTGCTAGGCCTAACAGGTTTTTCTTCCCATATTCCTTTAGATTTGTACCCTCCTCCACATTCCTATTTAGGTAACCTAGGGTTTTCTTTATATATGTTTCTGCATTATGTTTAGAGTCTAGACCTGAGTTTCCCAAAATATCAAATCTCAAACCTGAGTTTACATCCTTACTTGTCTCACTATGGGTAGGGGTTGAATTTGGCCGATGGTTACCTAACTTTTTCTTTATTGGACACTTCACTAGCATCCAGGGCCCAAACAAACTATGTTCCTCTCCTAGGCTACCCATTTGAGTAGGATTAATAGTATCATTTTCAGGTTTCTTATGAGATAAAGCTTCCTCAGTGGAATTTTCTTCACTATGCATAGGAATCGTATATGAATTATCAATGATTGATTTATTAGGGTCAGGACAGAACTCTTGCCTATGACCATACTTCCCACAATGGAAGCATATAAGGTGCAGACCCTCGTATTCTACTTTAAACTCTTGGCCTAAGACTTTAAAAGCAAGAACCAATTTTTTCCTAAGGTCAAGTTCTACACAAATCCTTGCAAACCTACCTCTAGAAATAAGAGAAGTATTTGGATCAATTTTTAGCATAACACCTAGGTAGTAACCAACTTGCCATAAGAACTTTTCATTATATAACTCAAAGGGAAGATCTGGAATGCGAACCCAAGCAGCTAATTTCCTAAAGGCATGATCTTTCGGCCTGAATAGAGGCCTCCAGCGCTGAACTAGGAGGTAGTGGTCCAAAATTAACCAAGGTCCCTCAAATAATGCATATTTATAATCCTCAATGGTCTCAAATCTAACAAGAAAATACTCATTATTTAAATCTAAAATTTTAAGGGGACCATTTCACCCCCAAAGGCTGCATAGCTTCTGATTCAGGTAATTGAAACTTATTGATTTTCCTAGTAATTTAACTATCAAAGAATATTTCCAGTGAGAACACCATTGTTCATAATCCTCTAAGGGAACTCTCAGATTCAGACATAGATTTTGGTCAGTGTCAGAGCTACTTAGATCATCAGTTTCAGTACTAATATTTAACTCTTCTAAGACAGTATTGACAATATCATCATTCCCTAGCGTCATTCCTAAGTCTTTAACTGACAACACCTTATCTTTATACGAAACTTTAGTAAAAAAAGTAGGGTTTGAAAGCACCTGATCTTCCATAGCTTCCTCCTTACTTTCTGGTTGCACGTTCTCTTCTAGAGACTCTGTATAATCTGGCAGTGCTAGCCTAACATTTTTTGTGCTTCTGGTCATTAAATCAGCCTCCTCTGTAGGACGTTCTCCACTTCTTGGTGAGCCATCCAGGCCTCCCTTGAACACGATTAGGTTTCAAGATGAAACCTTTCCCAGCAAGACACCCTTCTTCAAGATTGACGGGATGGAGAGAAGAAAAGAAAGAAAGCCAGGGTTTGTGAACGACCCCAGTCGAATCGGTGCTTCGAGATCACAAAGGAACTTGCAAGGAGAAGAAACCCCTCAAGCCAGGAAGGCCGAGGGATGAAACCCTAGCAGAGCATCACGCGACGCTCTTTCTCCAAGAACCTATCTTTCGACACCCTGAATCATATACCTTTGAAGAATATTTTAAGAATTTATTGTATATTTTATTTATAAAAATTATTATGTTTATGATAATAAATTATTAATTTTATTTTATGTTTATTATGTTTTATGAACATTATTTATAAAAATTATTAATTTTATGATAATAAATTAATAATATGATAATAATAATTTGAACAATTTTATGCAATAATTAATAGTTAATCTATATTTTAAATATTGACCAACGACACTTAAATATTGTTAATGAAATTTTTAAAATAATTTATCTAACAATAGTTATAACTATAAACTTAATTTTTATTTTTTAATTATTGTTTATTTTAATTTCAGGTGACATTTAATAATTATATTTTATTTATTTTTTACAATGATTTTAATTTGTTGCTTTAAAAAAATATGAATTGTATATAATTTTTTATACATCAAATATATTTTTGTTTTTATAATATTATTATTTTTCATTTTAAAAATTTTACATATATATGTGTATAAATTAGTTTTTATCTTTTAAAATATTATAGAAAAATATATAAACATTTATAGGTATATGGATTGAAAAATTTAAATAAAATTTGAAAATAATTAAGAAACTATTTTTATTTTAAATAACATATATTTTATTATATTTAAAATATTTAATTAAAAGATAATAGAGTTTAAGAACAACTTTAATTTGTTATTATAAAAATATAAATTTTATATTATTTTTTATATTTGGTGTATAAATAATATTTGCCACAAATTTGTTTTGGTTGTTAAATCAATTGCTACTTGTAATGAATTTTGTTCGATAGTTAGATTAGTTGTTATATATTATAGATTTGTTTTGGTTGCTAAAATTAATAGCTATTTTCTATTTTGCTATTTGCAATGAATATTTTTTAATCGTAAAATTAGTTACTATTTATTATGAATTTATTTTGATTGTTAAATTTGATGGCCAATTAAATATTTTTTTTTTTTGTGGCCGTTTGTCATTATGAGGCTACACACTGACATCTTATGGATCTACTAAATTTGTCTCCAAGATGAGTTTAAGAATATTTTTTAGAGTAAAAAAGATAAGTATTTTATTTTAATGTTAAGAGAATTATGTAATATTTAAAGAATAAAAAAATAAGGTATCAAATTTATATCAATTTATTGTTTTATTTATTTAATTTTTAAGGACAATTTTTTTATGATAGTAACTTTTAACGTAGACAACTAATTTTATGTTTTTGAAAAATGAAGTAAAAATTAAGAGTAAAGTTCCAAAATCAATGGTATAAATATTCATAAAATCATGAATGAAATACGGAATTCTTTTTGGGTAAAGAAGACTGTATAATTATAAGTGCTGCCAAAAGACTCGAATATGTGACTAACCAATTCTTTACCCATATGTCTTTAACATGGCCCCAGTCACTTAAACATTAAGGGATGGAGTATTCCTTAATTAGACTCCTATCATTTATCTTTTCTTACATTAAAAAACAAATCCTAATTTTAGTAACCCTCCACGTTCATAATAAAACTTAAATTATTACAGAAATGCTTATAATAAAAAGACCAAAAAAGGAAATGTTATAAAAATTCTAAATAAAATAACATTACTATCCACAGCATAGCTGACTTTACAAGCGTATATCAAGAATTTGAATTAGGTTCACCTTTTTTTTTCCTAGTCAATAAAAAAAAATTCACCGATTAATTTACCTATTTAATGATATGTACTATTTTTTTTAAAAATATTGTAAATTAACGTAACGTAAACATAACGATAATGAAAATAACTTATTATTCTAAAATTTATGATAAATGACCCGATGTCATAAATAATATTATTAGCAACATAATATTTGGTTAATTTATAAAATTTCAAATATGGAATTGGAATTTTTTTTCATGGCAAAAAAAAAAATAATGCAAATGGAATGTAGAATATTCTTTGAATAGGGATCGTTTCCTTTATAGTGACATGTAAATAGACACTGTGCTACATATATTGGAGCTTGTAACTTAACAGCAGACAAAATGAGACAGCATCAAACATTCATGCAGGCTGAAACAAGCTGCCATACCGACCGTCTCTGCCATTTTACTACTAACCAAAATGTACACTCAGTGACACAACCACTCCCTCATCGTTCTTTCTAGATCATCTCACTCACGCCTATGACGTACGTAACCTAGTTCATGTTTCATGTTTCAACTCTACTACACCCATAATTATGAATCATAATTACATGCTAATGCTATGAAGTTCCTTCATTTTTGCGAAACCTGGGTAGGCCTATTTTTGAACCCAACTTCTGAACATCATCTCGAACTTGTTGTCTATACTCCCGAAAGCTAAATTTCCTGTAAACAGAGGGCTCTCTGCAACTCTCTATCACGGTTTCGTTCGAAGGGCAAAGGAAATACGCCACAGAGAACCTTTCTAATTTTGGGTTGGTCACTACTCGATGCTCAACACTCTTGTACACCCCGTTGCTCCATGCCTGCATATGTTGCATTAGATTAGTTAACCGATCAACCAGCTAGGACTAAAAGACCAAACTTTTTTAAATAATTATTTAATGTCATGCTAACTAGGAGAACACAAAAAGTAGCTACCTGGAATAAGTCACCAATGTTTATTATAAGAGCATCAGGGTTTGGTTTAACTGCGATCCATTTCCTGTCTTTAAACAATTGCAAACCTCCGACCTGATCTTGATATAATATGGTGAGGAAGTCACTATCTGTATGCGGCATCAAACCATGAATCCCAAAAGTGATGGGGCATGGAGGATATCGGTTCAATCGAAGATAACATGTGTTGGGCAAGCAATTCTCCTTAAAGAAGGTTGACTTGTGACCCATTTTCTCGGCCAAGATGTCGGCTAAAGTTTGTGCAAGTTTGGAAACTGTGGTAGCAAACTGCTCAATTGTTGAACTGCAAAAATATACGCATCCGTACAAATTAATCAGGATTCAGGATTGATTTATTACACTTGTCTGGTAACAATGTGAAGGTTAAGGAGTAATTTCAATTCATAATTATATGGTCATAACAATATCTGCATATATAAAGTATTATTTTGGTTCAGTCATCCATTGGTGGAATGCTGTCAGTCTGCCATGCCTGCTGTGTTTTCGGCTCCAGCAGATTGGCAACATTCACGTGAGAAACTATGGAATATGTAGTCAGGGGAACCATAAAAAGAGCGAGCCATGTGCATGTATACCAAAATTGTGTGAACAAGTTCGGGGCTAGGAAGAAAGCAATGTCTGTGTCATGTGGGTTTCGAGTGTAAATAATATATTAATATAATGCAACTAATGAATTTCATCTACATGTAATAATATACGAGTAAAGTTAGACAACGCATGACGGAACTAAAGGGAGTCCTGTGATGGCGGTGAAAGGAGAAGTTGACAAAACATCAATTGGGACTGCGTAATAAAAGTCTAGACTTTGCTTTGCTCTTTGAAATTAAGCAGAAAGATATGTTCCTCTCTTTGAGAATGAGAATGACACTTGAGCTGAGGTATGAATGAAGGGCCACATGAAAATTTCAGGTTTGTTACTGAAAAAGCAATTAAAATGAGGACAAGCTATGACATGATATGTCGACATACTTGATCCAGGGTAAGATGGTCCAAATAAAAGTTTCAGAGATTGGAATTAAACGTAACTAAATATATAACATTCAAATACCCCCCGCCCCCTCCCCCTCCAAGCCCCAATAAAAAAATCCCAACGAATGGATTGCTAATTACTGTTTATTTTACTTAAACATTAAAATAACATGTTCAATATTCAACTTCGTCCACAAAATGTTCATTCCCTTTATTTCAAAAACAAATAGTAGCCAAATAAATTTGCTCCCATCAAAGAATTCCGGGATTTTTGTGTTTTAAATTACTCTTGACGAAACCAAATACTAGCACTGTTAAAAATTAAATAAAACATAAGTGAACAAATCAAACATTTTTTCCTACAACAGAGCGACTACAAATTAACTGCGCAAGCAAACCGCAAGCTATATACATACACAAAAGGAAAACAAAAATCAAACATGTATAGAACAACTTGTAAAAAGGAGTGAAATAGACATATTTGGATTGATATTGAGAGCCATGAATATATAAATGAGTCCAAATGAATAAGTAGAAAGTTAAAAAATGAATGAGTAGCGTAATTATAGTGGTGGTGAATACATACCTAAGAGGGTTTGAGCCAGTGGACCCAAGTATATCGGTTAAAGGAATATGAAATGCTTCTGACCAAGATAACTGTCTAATGCACGTGGCAGTGGGTGTTCCCCAGCGGTAGCTACCGGCGGAGAAGTTCGTGAACTTGTCCTCTTGGATCTTCTTTTCAAAGGGCTTCTTGAACACTTTCTCCTGCTCACACCTGAGCCTGCTGAAGATCTCACTGGAGATACCATGCTTCACAACTTGGAAGAAACCCCACTCCTGAGAAGCCCTAGCTATGCGTGACTTGCACTCTTCCCTCACTATCTCATTACTCTCTTCTAAACGGCTGAGATCGATCACCGGAAGCTCGCATTCCTCTGCCACCACGAGTCCATTGTCAAAATCATTCTCTTCATTGTTTCGGGTCTTGTCGATCAGGATTTTGTATGCCTCGTGGAAGGGTGGGTCCGAAATCGAGTCCATGTGCTTTCTTAGCTGCTCAAAGAAAAAGGTGAGTAGGGAATGTGAAAAGAAAAGTAAACGAATAGAGGTTTTCTTTGAAGAAATGAAGACATAAGAGATGAAGACAACCGATTTTAGATTGCTTTGTTTTTTTCTGTTCATTTCGTCTTTGGTGAAAACGTTTTAGACTTTGGAGACAAAGGTAGTTACATGTCTTATTGTTGAGACAGATTGATTTAGCTTTTGAGCAATTATATATATATATATATATATATATATATATATATATAATAAGCGAAGAAAGAGAAATATGAGTTAATATGGGCGACATAATGAAGATAGAATAAAAAAATTTAAGTTATAAAAATTAATGTAAAAAGTATGTATACAATTAATATAATTTTAAATTGAAAATTCTATTTTTGCTAATATTTTTCAATAACTAGGAAAGATATAGAGAAAAAAATATATAAAATAAGATAATAAATAATAATATAAAAAGAGATCTATAAAAATAAATAAATTATAACAAAATATAAAAATATATTATAAGAATACAATAACTTAATTTAAATTAACAAGATAATAAAATATCAATTAATATTTAAATTTTGATATATATATATATATATATATATATATATATATATCAAAATTTGGCAAAGTTAAAATGTTGTTTACAATCAATGCAGTCAACTAATTTATATTGTTCATTTAAAATCAAATGACTGTAATTAAATTTCAGTCATTTGATCTTCAACGAACGATGCACATTTGTTATATGCAATGACGTTAAATTAGAGTCGATCCCTAAACTTTTATCTACGATTCTCGTCATAGAGTCATGTTAATTATCTCATTTGTATCACAACAATCTCAGAATGTCTTGATATATCATTTGTATACCAAATTAGCGTACTAAACTAAATCATTAGATGACTTTGGCATAGATCTCACTAACTCATGATAGATTTAGGTTAGAAAAATACATCTAACTTAACGTATGTAATAGAGAGAGTGGTTTATACATGCTTAGTATAGACATCAAACATGCCTTTTAACGTAGTTTAGATTGGAAGGAAAGAAAATGATTTAAAAGATAAGACAAAAAAATGAATAAGAGTTAAAAAAAAAAAAAAAAAAGCTTTTAAGTTAGGAGAAGTTAAAAATATGTGCTTAAGAAGATTTTAGAAAGTTTATAATTTTTTTCTGGTTTAAAAATTTCTAAACAAATATTATAATTACATAAATTTTCTCTCTCTTTTTTTTGAAAAATTTAACAAAAGTCTAATTAAGATATATTTTCGCAATAAATATTAGAAGACAAACCCCATATCATTATTCTTAAAAGAAAAAATCTTTCTCATTAAAATGTCAAAACAATTCTTACATGTACACCACTACTTCACCTCAATCGTGTCACAACGAAATCATCTTTAGAACCATCTCAAAATGGTGCATCCATCATCCCAAGTTAGATCAAAGACAATCTCGACTGCGACAAATCGGGTCATTTTGAAGACTAGAGACCCACTTTTAGGTGTGTACAATGTCAATCCATATATAGTGGGGTTGATTATATATCCAAGGCTCTCACTTTCACAAATCAAAATCTTTTAATTTAGCAAAGTTGATGTAGACATTTTCCACAAACTTGTTCCTAACAAATTCGAAAAAGGAATCTCTTGCAATTAAAAAATTTCATTTATTAATCATAAATATTTATTAAGAGTTAAAATGATTTTTGTTAATAAAGTCTTTCTTTAATAAAAATTAAATTATGATTTTTTTAAAATTTGCACTAATGAATAATATTGAATACCAATGATTGTATATTAGTAATATATACTAATGTTATGTATTAAGAAAATTATTTATTAATTTAATACATCACATTATTAGTACAAATTTTAAATCTTACCAATAATTTAATTTTGTTAAAAAAATATGTACTAATAAAGATTAATTTATTATTAAATCAATAATAAATAATATTTTTTTCAGTACCTTTATATAATAACCCGGTAATCCAAAACCATATTTGCTGATTGTATGATCTAATGCCACAAGACGGTTACAAAGAAACAAAATAGTATGAAGTCTTACTTATATGCACACATCTCTATAAAAAAATTTATAATATATTTTTTAATTTTTTATATCACATCATTAATCTTATCTCAAAATTTCTTTATCTCTCTTAATTATCAAAAGGATTGTAGAAATTTTCATTTGTATGTGTACGCGCGCTGTGGCTAGTGTCTGCATGTGGCGTACGTATATATCTAGGAATAAAAAGGTTTGCGTCTCCACCTATGCAAGCGTTACAAAGAAACTTCGACAAGGCACGGTAACTACAAACCCTGTCTTTGTGTGTGTTTATAATGATCCGTGGAGACTGGATTCGGATTTTTCTGTAACATGTTGAATTTGTGGTTACTAGGAAGTGTCAGACCCTTGAAGTATTTAAACCCTCACTCCTCATGGGTTTGATTCATGTTATTAATTTGAGTTAAATACACATGTATCATTCATGCACAAATTGACGTAATTAAATCTGATTATTACACATCTAGCAGTGGAGCACTTCCCAAAACTATAGTATATAATAATAATAATAATATGACGATGATATGAAAAGTGGCAGATTGGTCCAAAGAACATAAAAAGATGATGGACAAATAAGAAAACTTGTTCCTTTTCTTCCACTAGGAAGAAGATCATGCTATGGGTAGCACACTCTATTTAGGGAAATGATTAGTATACCGCGGAAAAATAGAAAGTAGAAAAATAAAAAAAAGTGTGTATATATATATATATATATATATATATATATACACACACGTCTACGTCTGTGGCTGACAGAATATTTAAGATAATTATATCTTTAGTTGACACATTCACATGGTCACATTCCACTAGAATTATTGGTCATGAGTTAGTCTAACCTTGATATTCGATCTGTTGACTTTTGAATTAAAAGGCTTTATTATAAAAATAAGTTAAATATTTTATCAATATAATAAAAAATAAAATATAGATGTAATTTTTAAGTATTTTACATTATTAAAATTAAAAATTTATTTTAAAAACTAGAATACATTTTTATTATATTAACTATAGAGATAAAACTTTAAATCATAAAATAACACAAATGTAATTAAAATATCACATCTAAATTATGTTGACTTAAAAATTATCCACATGCACTAGTTGCTTTATTAGATACCTGGTTGAGGACCTTTAAGAAGTTATCAGACTCCTATATATTGTGCTTTTATTACGGGTTCTGCAAAGATTCAAGCAGCAATGTCACACCAAAATTGCTCTGATAATTTAAAATAAGCATCCGCTTACGATTAATTCACAATGATGTAAAAGAAAAATTAAACACACCATATATATATATATATAACCAACGATATATACATATCTATAATTTGAGGAAGGACATCTTATTTCCGATGGAATAAACCTGCTGTGCTTCCCTATGTAGGCGATCACTTATTCTTGCATATCCATAAATTGTTAAGAGAGTAGAAATTTATTTTCTGTTCATTAACGTGAAAAATGACTAAAAATTACCTTACCAAAGAGGAATTTTATATGCAATTAGAACTTAGAAGGACGCAGTCACCTACAGAAGAAGAATAGCTACCTATATAACTATGAAAAACCAAGCTCCGCTTCAGCGTGCTAAAAGTACTACTGTGGTATGCAAGATTGGTGTTCCAGGCGATGATTTATAGGCAACAAGACCATGAATTATTGTCAACATTGACATGTCAAGGACACTTCGATGATTGAAAGCTTATGCTAAAGGAGATGACCACGCGGCTCATGGTGGTATCAGAGAAAATATATACAGTATCTGGCTCCCTTTTTTTTTTTCACATTTCATACATGTTGATTTGTTTTCCTTTTGAAATATATCAAAACGTATATAAATTTATTTATTTGAATACTACATGATAGTACAGGATTTATTTTTTTTACTTTTTTTTTATTTACATTCATTCTATATCTTTTCTTGCTTTTTATCTTTCTCCTATTTATTTATCTATTAAGTTTCTCACTTTTTTTTTCTTTTTTCTTTCTTTTCGTTTATTTTTCACTTTCTTTTACTCATATCATAACTTCATTGTTGGGTGTGAGATGGATGTTATTGAACTAAAGATATATAATACGCTAAGAGTTTGGCATTGGATTTGCTTGCATTAAATATCTTTTTCTCTTGAAGAAAGTGAAACTATCAATATAAAATTATAAATTTATATGTCATGATACAGTTTATGATAAATAATTTGATAAGTATTATAAAAACTTATACTCACTCTTTATATATGATTATATTATTATAATACATTATACTATTAATGATTTATTGTAAACCTACAATACCTCTATTAACCATTTAATTTTTTATAGATAAAAAGATAACAATAGAAGCAAGTGTAATGCTTAATACAATTTTTTTTTTGTTAGTGCACGTGATTATCAACAACCCTAGCACAATTCACAAATTATTGAGTCTCAAATATTATAACTTGGGTATGATTTCTATTTATGTAAATAGAAAATATTTTATTGCACGGAATAAAATTTACTTTGATGATTTGAAGGTCTTGAAAAAATAAGATTTGCTGTTTTCTTTATACTTTTTTTTTAATAATTTCTTATAATTTTATATATAATACATATAAAATCTTTAAAATATAAAAAAATTACTAAATATATACATTCTTTATTGAATGATTAAACAACTATATACTCGAAGGATCTAGAATTTAGATTATTCTAAAGAAATTATTCTCTTGGAAATAGTGTGGATGCACGCTAAATATGATGAAGTGTGATTAGACACAATATCGCATATTCAAATTGTAGTATTATTCCTTTTGAAAAAAAAAAGCATTTTGTCAATTCCCCCAATCATGAATTGTCTCTCTTTGATGTAACGTGAGGTTTTGAGATGGAGAAAGAGAGACTTGGAAGAATGAGAACCATACTCTCTATTTGAC